ACTTGCAAAATCTTTAATGTCTCCCTGTGTCTCTGTCTCTGTCTGTCTCTCCATCTCTGTCTCTCTGTCTGTCTCCCATCAAAGAGCATTTAAATTCTTTCTGTAGTTTGCCAGTTGTGGGTAAGGCCGCTGCCTGTACTTATGAGGACCTATTTTGTGTATAAATGCGAGCCCCCAGCAGGAGACTGGCTGAAACATTTAAGAAAACTTTCCTCCTAGGTGGCCTCCAGCCCTAACCTGCACCCACCACATGCTCGGCCTGGACACCAGGGTACCTGATGCCCGGGTCCAGCCTGGGGCCAGGGGTGGCCCTTGGCATGGTGACCAGTGTCCGTTCTGACCATTCGGCCAGGTACCCTCTGCCGGGATTTAGATTTGGGGGTGAGTTGTTCCACAGAAGAGGGGTTCACAGAGACTGCATTTTGTGCAAAAAAAAATACTGTTGATGCTGAACATTTCTTTCCGCCTGGGGGGAAACCCTTGAGCCTGTGGCTTTCGTGACTTCGCTGGCTGGTAACATTTTCATAACTGTGATCCCACGTCTCCACTGAAGGGAAGAGCTGGGGCTTCTGTGACTGTTTTGGGAGTGAACCCCCAGATCCCTGCCTGGCCTTCAACCCATCCTGAAATGGGGCGGTCCTGGGCGCCCCTGGGAAATAGTCCTTGTTGCCAAAAAGCCTTGTGGGCTGTATTGATTAGCTTTCAGTTGCGGGATAAAATACCCGAAGAAGAGATTTATTGTGGCTCAGGGTTTCAGAGGCTTCAGTCCATGGCTGGCCAGCTCCAGGGCAGCAAGAGCTCTGGACATTGCGGGGTATGATCAGTTCTCCCCAGGAGGGGAAGGGAGCTGGTCTTTTGCACCGCTGGATTTGGACATTGGTTTTGAGCTGTGAGGGTTTTGCACAGCGCTTGGGCTCAGGGTTGCTCGCTGGACAGAGTCCAAGATGGATGTGTTTACACTGAGCGGGGTCACCCCACAGGCTCCCTGGGTCACCCCAGAGTTCCGTACCCCTCAGCCATTCAGCCCGGCAGCTAGTGGCATTAGCACGGCTCCTTCAGGCTGATTCCCTCCAGATCACGTGTCTCGAGAGTCCCAGTAACCTCTGCGGGCCTGGAGAGGTGTCTCGGTCTTGTCATCAGTTATTTATCTGCACCCAGGACCGCCGTGGGCTCGCAGGGAGGGTGCCCTGCTCCTGTCCTTGTTTGTATCTGAGTCCCCCAAACTCGTGGACTTGTTCTCGCCCCTGAAATCATGGACTCTGCAGACAGGATTCTGCTGAGGGTCTTGAGCTGGGGACATGGTTTTGGAACTCTTAAGACAATGCAATAATAGTGATAATAATAACAACCATGTTTATGATTGCAGGACCGTGGGAGGCTGAGGCAGGACGATCGCAAATTCGAGGCTAGTCTGAGCAACTTGGCAACTCAGCAAGACTCTGTCTCAAAATAAAAAATAAAACTGACCCAAGATGGACCTTCGTGTGAAGCCCTGGGTTCCAGGCCCAGTACTGGGGGAAAAAGGAACAAAAATATCTAATATGATCAAAAATCTAATCTTGTCAGGCAGGAGTTCTACAGCTGGGTCACACAACCCTAACGCAGATCTCTTCTTGTATATTACAGAGCAGATTACTCCAAAACTTTGTACCCTAAAACAACACACTTCTGGCCCTTAGTTTCTGAGGGTCAGAATCTGGGGGTGTTAGTTAGGTGGTTCTGGCTCCAGGTCCTCCTGGCACGGCAGTCAAGCTGCGGACTGGATCAGATCCAGCTGGGAAGATCAGATTCCAAGATCTCTCTGCTGGCTGGAGTCCTGTGTTTCGTGTCAGAGTCGTGGTTTGGGTGCAGATGGAAATTAACCGGGTCCTGGGGCCGATATTTTGGAAAGGATTAATGCAGGGCTCATGAAACTAAGTGGCTTCTTTCAAGAATCTTTTATTAGCCAGCTGGGCCCCTCTTTATCTAATGCTGTGCTGTGCGCTCAGATTTCCAGAACTGTGATCTACACAAACCTTTTTGCATTTTAAGGTCCCCAGCACCAGGCGTTTTGTTACGACCATGCAAAACAAACCAAGCCATGTGGAGTTCTGCAGAATGCTGCTTGAATGTTCTCACGACTCAATGACTGGGTTTGCCTTTGTGGGTGACGGTGCAGATGCATTTAACAGCAATTATAGAAAAGTCCCTGGCATTTTGTACAAGTTGGCAAACTCATCCCACAAGGATTTATGGGAGGAGAAGGGGGAGACAGCCTGGCGGGTCTCACCTCACAGAGGTGAGCAGGGAGAGAAGTGTAAGGCACCTGGGTTCCTGCAAGGCTCCCCTCTTTGTTCTGTCCTGGTTCATAAATAAAAAGCAACATTGTTGCAGTGTGCAACCTGGGCAGCTGGGAAGACAGAAAATGGACTCTGGAGATGAAGCCAGAGTGGCTTACTCAGGAGAGCGCCCAGCAGGAGGGTCTCCGGGCAACGGCTCGGACACGGGACTCCTCGGCTTTTACTCTCTGAATTTAGTGCAAGAGAAAACACACACACAGGAGAAAGCCAGCTTGGGAACAGCTTCAGGGGTCTGCACTGCTCCCCATTTGCCAGCTGTACTGAGCTCAGCACTTGATGTACAGACCTCCGCGCTGCTGCCCCGAGTCCCCCCACAGCCGGACCGTCCACTCCTTGGCCAGGTCCTCCATGCAAAATGACAGATCAGTAACAGGAAGCAGAGACACAGATCTTTCTCAAAGAGGAAGGGGCCAGGGGAGAGGAAGGGAATTGCACCGCGGTGTGTGCCGCCCGCTCTCCACACGGGGACGGGACTGCAGGCCTGTGCGGAGTTTAAAAAATAAACATTTACATTCGTGGTGCAAAAAGCCATTTTGGCTAAACCAGGCGGGAGACTCCAGGTGAGGTACTGTGCAGCAGTGGGACTATGTGCGCCCCATAAACCGAAGCGGCTCTGGCTACGGGGGTCAGCAGCATTCCAGAAGAATCTACCAGACAGTGAGCAGGATGAGAGCTTTTAAAGGTCCTCACCACGACAGTAAAATGCTCAGCCTGTGAGGTGACTGGTACCTTAACTGGTTTAGACAGTGTGCTGTGTACCACGAAGGTACACAGTGTCACTTGCCAGTTAAAACAGTAATTAAAGAAGAACCAGGCCAGGCGGGTGGCGCAGCCTGTCATGGCAGCACTGGGAGGCTGAGGCAGGAGGGCCGCTGCGGGTTCCAGGCCAGCCTGGCTGCAAAGGGAGTCCAAAGACTGAGCAGCCTGATGAAACTCTGCTTCAAAAGGACAAAGATAAACAAACAAACAGGTAAATAAATAATACAAAGGAAGCACGAGGGCCTGGAGTCAGCTCCGTGGCTCGGCCGCCCGGCCGGCCCACGGTCCTGAGTTCGATTCCTGGTACCACACGGACGGCATGTTGGAGCTAAAGAATCAAAGAGCAAAATAACCCAGAAACCCAGAAACCACTAAGCCAGAAGGCGCCTCTGGGTGTCAGGAGACCGAACCCCGGGAGGCTCTGCCTCTTCCTCCCGGTGCTTTCTGCTGAGTCCGTCCTGCCCAGCAGCCCTGGGGGCTCCGCCCTGGCACCAGCACCCCGGGGAGCCGCTCTCACTCTCGGGGTTCACACTCCGCGGGAGCACTGTGCAGGGGAAGGCGGAGGGGAGGCCTGGATGCACCCCGCTGGGTCAGCCTTGGGGTCGCCCACAGCCCAGCGGCAGCCCGGGTCCCCTCTGCTGTGACCCCCAGAGCGGCTGGAGCAGCAAGGGGGGGGGCAGAAAGAGAAGCTCGGGGAGCCCTCCCCTCCCCTCCCCCCTCCCCTCCCCCCTCCCCTCCCCTCCTCCCCCCCCCCTTTTCCCTTCTCTCTCTGTGACAGTGATGTCAGGACGTCGCCTCTCACACGGAGGAAAAGGAGGAGCAGACCCAAGCGAGCCTCTTCTTCCCTGGAGCTGGCTCCCCGCTCTGCGCCCCTCTGCAGCTGCTGACCCCTGACGCACCCCGTGCGCCCTGCCGACCCTCAGGTGGCTCCTGTCAGGGTCACACCTGCGTGGTGCTGGGGACCCCACCGGCCCACCATCCAGCTTCGTTCTGCTCCTGACCGGCCGGGCTCCTCCTGCCTCAGCCTCCCGAGCTGCACCCCCCGCCCTCCCTGGAGACCAGGCCGGAGCACCCAGAGCCGGCGACAGGCCCCCCAGTGTGGGGTGACAGGCCGCAGGCCAAGGTGAGCAGGTGGGCCGCTCCCTGAAGGGTGACTGGGGTACAGGGCGGGCCTCGCCGCAGCCCCACCGCACACTCTCCCCCTTCTGTGGCTCAAGGGTGCTTTCTCCTGGGTCACTTGATGCATTTTCTTAGAACCCTCTCTGGGGTCTCTGAGTGACCCTACGTGACGTCTCACTAGACCTCCACGTTTATGAGAGGAGGGCGTGTGCGTGTGTACATGTGTGTGTGTGTGTGTGTGTGCGTGTGTGTGCATTGGGTTGGGGGCTAGGGTGGAGTACTACTAGGCAGCGAACAGGGAGAGGAGAGCCTGGAGGGAGGTGCGGGCTCCTCGTCCTGGGCCGGGGCTGCCCGGGTTCAGGTGTCGGGTTCACACGACCGCGGGCAGAAAGCATTTCCTTGGAAATGCAGGTTCCCTTTTTGCGGGTCTGTGGGTGCAGAAAGGGGAATCCCGGTTTTACAAGGCTGACCTGAAGACAAGCCCGGTTGGGTCCGTGTCTGCAGGGAGAGCCGGGAGGGAGCATCCCGGGGCTGCGCTCAGCAGCTCGCGAGGGAGACGGCAGTGCAAACTGCTATTAAAACAGCTCAGTATCATGGTCTCCTCTATGTGATGGGCTGAAAGAAACAATCCACTGGAGGACGCGGGGAGAGCAGGGACAGGTGTTGGCGGGCAGGGAGGAGGGGGAGGGGGAGCCCCGTCAGCAGGTCTGGGGAGCCGGCTGGCCCAGCGCCCGCCCGAAGTCTCCCTGCTCAGGTTGAGCAACCCTGACTCCGCCCTTTCCCCTTCACCCCACAGACAAGGTTTTAAGGAAAGGCTCCCCGCTCTGAACCACACACACACACAGCAAGATGTGGGGCGCCCGCCTGCTGCTGCTCTGGGGTGAGTGGGGAGGCCGAGGGCTGAGATGGGCTCCCTGACCGCTCAGGGGGTGCAGTGCAGGCCGTCTGCCGTGGGCTGGTCCTGTGGGCCCGCGTGGCGTGGGCAGGAAAGCAGCCCTGCGCAGTGACCACCACCTCGCACCGCGCTGAGCCCCGTGCCCAGGGGACACCCTCGGTCTCCGCCAGGCTGCAGGGTTGGGGGCACCGGGGCTCCATCTGATAAAGTAGGAAACAGGCCAGAGAGGTGGAGGGTTCTCCCAAAAGGACTCAGCCCGAGGGGCCAGCTGGCTGGCTGCAGACCTGCCCCAAATCAGAAGGACACCAACAGCCTCGGCGGGGACACGCGCCCTAAGAAGCTGTGCTGAGCGTGGCGGTGCGTGCGCTATCCCGGCCCTCGGGAGGCTGAGGCAGGAGGGTCCCGAGTGCGAGGCCAGCCTGCTCTGCACAGAGCGAGCTAATAAAATCAAATAAAACTTAAGGGAAGTGGCTGGGGTCACCCTGGGGGGGAAGTCAGGGAGGCGCCTCGAGGTGCCCGGGTTTCTGCTGAGACCTGAGCAACCAGGCGACTCTGCTCGGCTTGTTTCTCTTTCCCAGGCGTCCGTCTGTCTTGCTCTGGTCTGTCTGTCTTTGCTGTTGCCGTTTTTGCTTGTCTGTGGGTTTCTTCACGGGCTACAGCGGAAGATGAGAACGTTGCTTTTTGATGGTGCTCGGGATGGAACCTGCATTCGGGGGGAGGCCGGGCTTGAGCACGAGACCCTCCTGCCTCAGCTTCCCGGTGCACCGGCGGGGACAGAGCTGTCCTAAGCAGCAAGGGTGGGGTCCTTTGCACAGCAGACCTGGTTCTCTGTCTTACGGAGGAGGAAACTGAGGAACTAAAGGTCAAATAACTTTTCAAGGCCGCACAGTCAGTCACGGGTGCAGGTGACATTTTACCTGTTTTTGTAACCAGAAATCCAACTCAGGACCTTGGACCTGCCAGGCAGGCACTTACGCTGCTGGGCCGTATCCCCAGCCCCTGAGATGAGTTCTGACTGCGGGGTCCCTGTGCTCCGTGGCTCTACAATAATAAATGAACAAGAGATTATTGGGATAATGCGTCCATCCATCATTTGGGCTCCTGTTCTAACCCACCAGCCCTATTTCCGGGACGCCCCCGAAGGGTCATGTTGCAGGCCCTTTGGTGATTTTGATACCTTCTTTCCCCTCTGCAGGGTGTTGCTGTGTACCCAGCTGGGGATCCACTGACCTCTACACCACCTCAGCTGACCAGGGTAAGTTTGCTGACCATATACTGGTTAGAGGATGGCTCTTTGGGACGTGAGCTCTTTTTAGCCTGGAAGCTGATCCCTAGGTGGATGCTTTCTGGGATTGGCTTAGAGACAAGAAAAGGGCTGGGACGCAGATTTCCTGACCCCAGATCATTTCGTGTTTCTTTGTGCCCCGAAATTGCTGTGTGACTTCAGGCAAGTGCCGTAACCTATCTGATCTTCATTTTGCTAAACTGCAAAATACAGAGAACCACGTGGTCATTTCCGAGCTCCTGCTGGCCTCGTGTTATATCACAGGCCAAGGCCTGGACCAGGCTGCCAGGCCACAGCCTGATGGAAACCTCTTCCAGCCTCCAGCCTCACCCTTGAACTCGTAGCAGGGACTCGAGAACATCTTAGAACCATATGTGCTTTCGTGAGTGTTGTCTTGTGGGAAGCTGTAACTCGATCTGTGGGGTCCCCACCCCGACTTGCACAGTTATAAGGTCTGTTTCTCACCAGCATTGAGATTTCTCACCAAATCGTTGGTATTTGGTATTTGATTTCTCGGTGCTGGCCGTTCTTTCTAGAGTGAGCTGGACTCTCAGGATGGTTTTGCCTTACATTTCTAATGGCCACAGAGGTTCCCAGTTTCTCGTGCACCTACTGGCCTGGTTTTTATTGAGTCTTTCATTTTGGGGGTCCTGATATTTCTGAGTTCCTCATCTATTCTTGATATCAGTATTTATTATGTTTTGCAAACACAGAGTCCTAAAAATGTGCAAAGTGAAAGAATCCAATCGGGTCACTTCGGTCTGAACTCGGCTCTTGCGTTCTCTGAGCTGGTTGCTGTTTTGTTAGTAACAGATCCCTGAGCTGCTTGGCTCACAGTTTGAGAGATGTCAGTCCATGATCGGTCGGCCCTGTTTGCTTTGACCTCTGGCGACGCACCATGGTGGGAATCTGTCACCTCGGGCCTGGAGAGCAGAACTTAGAACCTAGAATGGGTTGGGGAATAGACAAGAGAAAACCATGTGGATGCCACTGCAAAAAAGGTCGTCCTTGATAAACTAGCTGTTTGCATTTGTCAGTGATCCGTTGCTGTGACAAAATACCTGACAGCTGCTACTTAAAAAAAAAGACAGGTTTCTTTTGGCTCAGTGTTTTGCTGGGTTCCGTCCGTGGGATGAAGAAATCGTTCACCACGTAGAGCCAAGAAGCAGAGACAGAGGGAGGAGCTGGGGCCAGGAAGGCAGCCCCTCTCTGAGCCTTGGGTTTTTCACAGCACGTGCTTGGAACTGCGCTGATTGCTGTGGCCACTATCGCAAACTCTCAGACACTTGCAGGCCAACATGTTTTATCTTGCAGTCTCTGTCTCTGTCTCTGTCTCTGTCTCTGTCTCTCTGTCTCTGTCTCTCTGTCTCTGTCTCTATCTCTGTCTCTGTCTCTCTGTGTCTCTCTGTCTCTGTCTCTTTGTCTCTCTGTCTCTATCTCTCTCTGTCTCTCTGTCTCTGTCACTCTGTCTCTCTGTCTCTGTCTCTCTCTGTCTCTCTGTCCCTCTGTCTCTGTGTCTCTCTGTTTCTGTCTCTCTGTCTCTGTCTCTCTCTGTCTCTCTGTCTCTGTCTCACTCTGTCTCTCTGTCTATCTCTCTGTCTCTGTCTCTTTCTGTCTCTCTGTCTCTCTGTCTCTGTCTCTCTGTGTCTCTCTGTCTCTATCTCTTTGTCTGTCTCTATCTCTCTCTGTCTCTCTGTCTCTGTCTCTGTCACTCTGTCTCTCTGTCTCTGTCTCTGTCTCTTTGTCTCTCTGTCTCTATCTCTCTCTGTCTCTCTGTCTCTGTCACTCTGCCTCTCTGTCTCTCTGTCTCTGTCTCTGTCGCTCTCTGTCTCTCTGTCTCTCTGTCTCTGTCTCTCTCTGTCTCTGTCTCTCTGTCTCTGTCTCTGTCTCTCTGTCTCTGTCTCTCTGTCTCTCTCTGTCTCTCTGTCTCTCTGTCTCTGTGTCTGTCTCTGTCTCTATCTCTCTCTCTGTCTCTGTCTCTATCTCTCTGTCTCTGTCTCTCTCTGTCTCTGTCTCTCTCTGTCTCTCTGTCTCTGTCTCTGTCTCTCTCTGTCTCTGTCTCTCTCTGTCTCTCTGTCTCTGTCTCTCTGTCTCTGTCTCTCTCTGTCTCTGTCTATCTCTGTCTCTGAGACAGGGTCTCACCGTGTAGTCCAGGCTGGCCTTGAGCTCACTACGTGGCCCGAGCTGACCTCACACCTGCAGGGACCCTCCTGCCTCAGCCTCCCGAGTGCCGGGCCGCAGCCCCAGGCCCAGCGTGTGCCCGGCGCGGACCCGGTTCTCCTGGTGCAGGCCGGCTCCAGGAAAGATGCTTTATCTTAAGTTCATCTTACCTGGCACAAAGCGCGCCTGCCCCAGACTGCCATCTCGCGTGCTGGCGCAGGTCAGGGCTTTGAGGGGTCCCTCTGAGGACGCGGTGCAGCCCTCAGGGTCACCCCAGCCTTGGCCCCTGGATGCCCGGCGGCGGCTGGGTGCTGCGTGTGACTCTGTGCCGCTCCTCCTGCAGATGAGAACGAGTGCCTGGACACCACCGCCTGCCCCGCGTACTCCACCTGCCACAACACCGTGGGCAGCTACTTCTGCACCTGCAAAGCGGGCTTCGAGGCCAGCAACGGACAGAGCCGCTTCACCGGCCGGGGGGTGCAGTGCCAAGGTGAGGCGGGGCGGGGGCTGGCTGGGCCCCAAAGGGACGCCGCGGCCGGGCATCGCAGGCGGGCGAGGGGCTGGTGCCCAGCGGAGCCCGGAGCAGAGGTGGCGCCCGGCTCAGCCAGCTCTCCGTGTGCAGATGTGGACGAGTGCTCGCGGAGCCCCCCGGCCTGCGGGCCGCACTCCGTCTGCCGGAACCTGCGGGGCACATTCAGCTGCAGCTGCCGGCCCGGCTTCTCGTCCCCCAGCGGGGACGGCTGGAGGCCGGGCATGGCTGGGCGCTTCGCCTGCACAGGTACGCGGCGGGCACGGTGCCCGGGGGGGCGAGGCTGGGCGCCGGCGGCAGGGCGGCTCTGAACCCGGACGCCGGTGTCCCTTCCCGCACAGACACGGACGAGTGCCTGGCCGGCGGGGCCTGCCCGGAGCACGCAGACTGCACCAACTTCCCGGGAGGCTTCAACTGCAGCTGCCGGGCCGGGTTCGAGGCCCGGGGCGCCGTCTGTGCAGGTGCGGACGCCCAGCTGGCCCTGCTGCCACGGGAGGGTCCCCGTCAGGGACCCCAACCCGAGATGGCCCAGCTCCAGGGCAGCCCCGGTGTCTGCGTGCAGAGCTCTGGGCCCTCCTGTCCCCTTCCTCCGTGTCCCTAAACCCTGCATCCGCCTGGCAGGACCCGGCTGCTCAGGCAGCCTGAGCTCTTCCCGTCCGGGCTGCGGCACAGGCCTGCCCTGGAGGAGCGAGCGCGGACCTTCCCCCCCTTGTCACAGTCCTGGTGGCTGTAGGGATCCACAGTGCGATGGTCCTCAGCACATCCGAGATGGTGGCTGTAGGCCCAGCACTCGGGAGGCTGAGGCAGGAGAGGGTCACTGTGAGTCTGCAGCCACCCTGGGTCACGAGGTGGGTTCAAGGCCGCTCTGGACGACGAGGTGAGAACCTGTGTCAGAATCCCAGCGGGGGGGGGGGTGGCTCAGCGGGGTAAGCGCCTGGCTGGCAAGCACGAGGCCGTGAGTTCAATCCCCGGTACCGAAAAATAAACCCAGGAGGGGATCCGAGTCACACACGCACACAGACACGCAGAGACAGACACGCAGAGAGAGACAGACAGACAGACACACACACAGATACACACAGAGAAAGAGACAGACAGACAGACACACACACAGATACACACAGAGAAAGAGACAGACAGACACGCACACACAGAGGAACTTGGTAACCCAAAGACCTTGCACTATCGTAAGAACACACAAGCCCAGAGTCAAGGAAGAGATGCTTCTTCACCATCGTAGGGAAAGAAGCCCCGTCCCACCGCCTGCAGATGCGGACTGTCTGCCACCCGCCCGTTCTGTGTCCGCACTGGGGGCCGGAGTCCGGGACAGGCGCCTGCACGGGCGGGTTTCAGGGTGTCAGGCGTGCTGTTTGTGGTACCCCAGCCCAGGACGAGGGCCTGAGTCTCTAAGGCGCGTTTACCGTCATGTGTGCGGCATGTAATGATTGGCCTGCGCACGGCCGGTCGTTTGCTTTTGGCAGTCTAAATTTTTCAGTCCTGTAAATATTCTGGACCGCAGGCTTTTATCAGAGACATGTTGGAACATTCCCCTCCCTTCTGGAAGTGGTCTCTGCGCGTGGTTGATTGTTTCCTTTGCTGTGCACAAGCTTTTTAATGTGGTGTGATCCCCGTTGTTGATTCTTGGCAATATTTCTTATGCACTTGAGTTCTGTTGAGAAAGTCCTACCCGAGGCATGGAGACGAGAGTTTTATGTGTGCTTCACATGTCACAGCAGGTCCAGGGTCTCTCGTGCATGTCTCTGATCCATTTCGATTTGGTTTTTGTACAGTGTAAGAGATGTGGGTCGAGATCCATGGTTCGGCAGGTGGTAACCAGTTTCCTGCAGACTGTTCTTTATGGAGGCTGTTTTTTTCAGCACTTCATTTTAGCTCTTTATCAAAGATAACATGCATAAAAAGGCACAGTGCTGTTCTATGGTGTCTATTTTATTCCATTGACTTACATGTCTATTTTCTTTACCAGTGCCATGCTGCTTTTATTACTATAGCTTTGTAGTATAATTTGAAATCTAAGTTTTAAGTCCTTCCACTTTGCTGGGGGTTTTTTCCTTTGTCTTTTTGAGACAGGGTCTCACCATGCAGTTCCGACTGGCCTTGGGCTCACCTTGTAGACCAGACTGGTCTTGAACTTGCAATGATCCTCCTGCCTCAGCCTCCCGAGTGCTGAGATTACACACGTGAGCCACCATGCCCAGTTCCTGCTTTGCTGTTCCTTGACAGGATTGCCTTGGTTATTGGTTCTTGTTCCCTAGATATTTTAGGATTGTTTCTTTTAGTTCTTTGAAGAGTGTTATTGGTCTTTGATTGGAATTCTATTAAATCTGTATATCATTTTTTACAGCGGGGCATTTTCAAAATGCTGTTCCTGCCTATCCAGGTACAAGAGTTGTATTTCTGTTTTCTGATGTTCTCTTCAATCTCGTTTGTCTTTTAGACTACTAGCATTTTCATTATAGAGACCTTTAAATTCCTCGCTCAGGTTAATTCCTAGGCATTTAATTTTTTAAACTGTCAAAAGCAAAACTGTTCTCTTGATTTCTGATTTTCGTACGTTGGTTTGGCTTCCTATCACTTTGCTGTGTTTTTATGAGCTCTAAGAATCGCCGGTGTTCCAGGGGCCTTCTTTGTAAAGAACCACGTCCTTGGCAAAGGATCGTTCGGCTTGTTCTTATCCTGCGCATAACCTTTGGTTTCTTTCTCTTGCCGGAGTGCTCAGGCTAAAGCTTAGTACCGGGTCACCATCATCAGGAGAGGCAGGAGTGGACAGCCGTGTCTTGTTCCTGATTTTAGAGGGATGCGCCCCATTTTTTCCCATTGAGTGTGATGTTGGAAGTGGGTTTGTCATAAGTGTGTTGTCAGTTTAAGGCAAGCTTTCCTCTTCTTCTTCTTCTTCTTCTTCTTCTTCTTCTTCTTCTTCTTCTTCTTCTTCTTCTTCTTCTTCTTCTTCTCCTTCTTCTCCTCCTCCTCCTCCTCCTCTTTCTTCTTCTTCTCCTCAAAACAGAGTCTCACTTTGTAGTTCAGGCTGGCTCTGAATTCATGGCGATTCTTCTGCCTCAGCCTCCCCAGCGCTGGGGTTACAGGTGTGTCCTTTGCCGCTGGACGGCGCCCCCTTGGGTTCATCCTGCAAACCCACAAGTCAAACTGCCCGCTTTTTGCGCATGTGCAGAGGCTCCTCCTATCAGCTGTCAACACGTCACTCCACCCGCCCCTTTAGCTTTGCGCCTGTTAAATTCCAAATAAAAAACCCGTGATTTTTCCTGAAGCTTCCAGAAGGTTCCTGCCTGTCTTCAGCAGCCCTCCCGTACCCTCAGTAAAGGTCTATTTTCCTTCCTCCTGTTATCTTTCTTTTCTGTCTCACCCCACGGGTCTCTGTTTTCTGTTTTCTCCAGTGTATTTTTAACCCTGAGAGGATGTTGGATTTTGTCAATTGCTCCTTTTGCATCTTTGGGGATGGTCACGTGGGTTTCATCCTGACTTCCGATTGGCTGGTGTATCACTCTACTGATTTGCATATGTGGGATCCTCCTTGCACCCCTGGGATGCGGTTAATGTGGGCACGATGTATGATCTTTTTCTCATTTGTCGCGTTATGCTCTCCAGAATCGTGCTGAGGTTATTTACGTCTCTGTACGTGGAAGGTATTGGCCTGTAGCTTTCTTTTTTTGTAGCTTCATTTGGATTTGGTATCTGGGTAACGCTAGCTGCAGGCAGTGAGTTTGTCAGTGATCGTCCCTTTCAGTTTAATGGAAGAATTTGAGGAGCACTGTTGTGAGTTCTGGTAAATTCAGCGATGAGTGTAGCAGCTCTGCAGCTTTTCTTTGCTGGGAGAGCTGTTAAATATCATTATCTTTACTAGTGTGTGTTTATAGTAATTATTACTTCCTCAATTTAGCTGTCTATTATTGATCTGTTCAGAGTTTTACATCTTATTTCAATTTTGGGGAGTCACACGTGTCTAGCAATTTATCCCGTTTCTTCTAGTCCCTTCACATTATTGGAATAGAAGATTTAAAACTAGTTTTCTTCTGGCCCTCTGGATTTCATGGTGTGATCCACCTTTTTATTTCTAATTGCATTAAACATTGCGTTGGATCTGTTCTTCCCTGCCACTTTTCTGTATTTACTAGCTTTAACAGTCTTCTTGTGGAATTTGGGGGTCTTTAAAGGGTCGTGTCACTGTGAATAATGATATTTTATGTTTTTCTTTTCCTAGTCAAATTCTTTTTGTTTTCCTCTTTGTCTAATTGCACTGGCTAATGTTTCAAGCACTGGATGGGGCAGGGGCAGGGATAGTAAACATCCTCAATCGCTCCTAATTGTAGTAGAAAAGCTTTCAGTTTTTACCCATTTTGTATGATGTTGGCAGGGGGGTTGTCATAAATGGCTTTTATCTTTTTAAAGGAGTGTCCTTCTGTGGCCTGTTGATGAAGAGATGTTAGAACTTGTCAGAGGATTTTCTGCATCTATTGAGATGACCGTGCGGTTTTTATCCTTCCCTTTATGTGATATATTACATCTGTTGTTTCCTCTCTGTCAATTTCATGGGAAAATTTGTCAAATGTTGCCTTTAGCTCTTGACTGATGTTGTAAAATTCAGTGGTGACTCTATAATGCCCTGAGTTTTGCTTTTTTGTGTGCTTTTCAGCATCCTGTTATTGGACTGTTAAGGGTTTTTGTATCTTCTTGATTCCATTTTGGTAACACACATGTATCTAGGAGTCTACCTATTTTTCTAATTCTCCAGTTTACTGGAACACAGGTATTTGAAGCAGTCATCTATAATCATTGGAGGTTAGTGGTGACCATGATTATTTTGTATTTTTTTCATTCTAATTCATTTTCATGGTATTTTCTTTCTTTCTCTTGGTAAGTTTGACTGCAAGGTTGTCTATTGTGTTAATCCTTTTGATGATCGAGTTCCAATGTATTGATTCTTTTCATTGTTTTTCTATCTCAGTTTTATTAATTTCTGCTCTGATCTTTTTAATTTTCTCCTTGTGCCAATTTTGGTTTCAAGTATTCTTGTTTTTCTAGGACATCGAGGTGCGGTCTTAGGTTATTTTGGGGGGTTATTCAGGTTTTCTATCGTGGGCATTCACGGTTATAAACTGTCCCATTAGGACTGTTTTCGTTGTGTTCCATAGGTCCTAGTGTGTTGTACAAGCCTTGCCATTTGGTTCGAGGAATATTTGCCGTATTATTGTTGTATTGATATTTATCTGATCTTTGTGATTTCTTCTGTGACCTCTTGATTATTCAAGAGTGGACTGCGTAGTCTTTTATGTGTTTGGTAATTTCTGTGATTTTTGCCTTGATTTTCTAGTTTTATTGTGCTGTGTTTTGATTCTTTTGTGTTTCTCTGAGTGTCCCTTATGATCTATGTATGTGTTCTATTTTGGAGAAAGTTCCATATTCTGCTGTGAAAAATGTGTAGTCTGTTGTTGGGTGGAACACTTTGTTGATACCTATTAAATTCACTCGATCAAAGGTGTGGTTCCATTCTGATACTTCTGTGTTGATTTTGTCTGAATGTCCTACTTGTTACAATAGAGGATTTAATTCCCCCGTTATTAATCTGTTGATGTTTATCTAATGTTTCATGTCCAATGCTGTTTGGTTTGTGGAGTGGGGTGTGCTAGTATTTGGCGCATATATATTTACAATAGCTGCTCATGCTTGCTTTGGAGTCCCTGTTGCATGGACCACTGTTTTTCATCCTTAGAGTTTTTGTGTCTGAGGCTTTTTAATTGGTAGGTGTGTTTCTTGTATGCAACATACTATCGTTCTCCTCTTTAAAAAAATTCAACCTGTCCTGCTGTGTCTCTTGGTTAGGGAGTTGAGACCATTTACACTGAGGGCTATTTCTGAAAAATATTAAAATTAATTAAAATTAAAAATACGCCCTTTGTCATGGAGGATCTTTATTTTCCATCAATTTTGAAAACTAATTTTGCAGGACGTACACATCTGATTTCAAAGTCGTTTTCTCTTAGGTTTTGAAACACTTTACTCCAAGCTTTCCTGGACTCTGAAGTTCATGTTGTGAAATCCTCTGTGCTTCTAGTAAGTTGATCTTTGTAAGTTATATATTGCTTTTCTCCAGCTGCTTTTGAAATTCTGTCCCAATATTGCACTCCCGGGGTTTTACCTGTGCTGTGTCATGGAGAAGTTGTTTTTGATTGTGGATATTCACTATTTTATATGCCTGCTTTACCTGTATGTTGAGTTCTTTCCTCATACTTGAAATTTTTCTGCTCTGGTGGTTGTAAATAAATTTTTAAACCTTTTGTGCTGTTTTCTAATTTTTCTTTCTCGCCTATTACTCTCGGGGTGGTTCTGTGTGAGTCACCTGGCACCCGTTAGACTTGGTTTCCACGCTCTGTCGTTTGTGGTACACGGTGATTACCCTCATGGCGGGGCTTGGCACATGCGCACAACACGTCTGAATTCTTCTGCTGTTTGCTGCTCCTCCCTGTCTCCCTACTTCTTCCAAATCTTTGTCCCCTTGAAAAAGCTCTATTTTCGTTTTCCCTTCCCCTTTCCCTCTCCTCCCTCCCTGTCCACTTGACAGAGACCTCCCTATTTATCTTCTATTTTGTTATATATACGTAGGTGTATTACATATTCATATTTATTCTTCTATATTCGTATAAAAGAAACAATGCAACGTTTAAGCTTGTATATCTGACTTATTTAACTTAATATGTTTATTTTTGGTCTTTCTGAGACAGGGTCTCGCTGTGCAGTCAGGCTGGCCTTGAGCTCTCTCTGCAGCCCAGGCTGGTCTTGACCCTGCAGTGATCCTCCTGCCTCAGCCTCCCGAGTGCTGGGATGACATGCATGCACCACCACGCCTGGCAACTCAGTATGTCTTTAACGTATCTCTGAGTATATGATCTCCCGAATCCACCTGGCCTTCTAGTTCTGACCCTCCTCACATTATCATTTCTTGTGCTCATATTTGGGTGGAATTTTTTTATATCCTGAATTTCTTTTGATACCTTTCGATGAGCTCTACGTCTTTTGTTGTAGAGGGGACTGAACCCCGGGCCTTCACTCTGAGCTGCATCCCTAACCCCCACCCCACACACACACACACTCTTTATACTAGGCTAGAACTCAGGCCTGAGCTTGCCAGGCCGGCGCTGTGCCGCTGAGCTGCGCCCCGGGCCCGGGAGCTCTGCTTCTTTCCTGAACTTGCCATTCGTGCCTGCATCCTCATGGTGACTTTGCCCACCGTTTTATGGGTGCTATTGTTAAGCCTGCTGCCCCTTTACTGAATAAGTCCGTTATCTGTTTAGTTACAACCTCTGATAACTTGCTTTTATAAATTAGTTGTTTTCCCGCGATGGTTTTTAGTATTTCTGTGTTATGTGTTTCTAAGATTTTAATGATGATGACGTGGTGGAGAATTTGTGCTTTTCTCGTGTATTTACTGTTCTAAACGTCTCGTGTACGTGCAACACATTTCAATCCCAAATGTGGTGAGTTAGCTTAGGTCTTTTAGTCAGTTAAGAGCCCTTGAAGCAGCCCTTGTATTTCCTTCTTTTAATGTACCCCGAGCAGACGGTGCCCCCCATTTTCCTCTTGTGCTCTGAGCAGTCCTGCTTAGCCACCCGCCTGGCTTTCCGCTGTGTTTTCTCGTTTTTCGTTCATTTCTCCTTGATTTTTCCATCCCCTCGAGCTCTTCACTAAAGTGATCGTTAGCCTGTTTTTCCTTTAATTCAGTCGGCCACGTTTGTCTTCCATACGTTCACTTACATGATTTATGTGTTTATTTACATTCTCGGGGCTCACTGGACCCCTTATGCATTGACTTACTTTCTTCTTCAGATATTTTGACCGTTGGGGTTTAGAGTCTCTACCTGAAGCTCCCCAGTTCGGCGCCCGTGAGATCAGCTTGAGGGGGTGAAGGGTTTGGGGGAACATTTTGTGTTCTGACAGAACCAACTGCATCTCAGCATTTAACTTAAAACTGTTTTTCGGCCTCTCAATTTCTCCGAGAAGCCATGAAGCGGGCGTGCTGGGCTGCGATGTGGAGTGACGGGCGGGAAAAGCAGCTAACGGTTCAGAGAGAACGAGGAGGGGCCTGCAGGGGCAGGAGGGAGACAGGCTCTCTCTTGGTGCTTTTATATCGGGGATGCAGGCTGGGGAGGGGTTAGAAGAAGTGGGGGAACGCGTGATCAGAGACTTAGGGACGCTCAGAAGCTGGAGCCGGCCCACACCTTGGTGCAGAGCTGTCTGACTTCCGTACGTGATTTCTGGCTGGGCTTCACCTTACGTGTTGATGAAAGAAAGTGGAAAATATTAAAGTGAATAATTGGCTCTTACGCAGCAGACATGTGGAGAGACAAAAAGTAAAAAAGCCAATAAAATAAGAATTAAAAAATACATCACGATGATAGTCACACAAGCAGCCGAGAGGGAATCCTGCCCATGTAACCAGCTGTGGGTTTTGGCACTTACGCTTGACACTCACAGTGCTTAAACGTGCCGTTGCACCCTGCTCTGGGGCTGCCCCGCCCGAGCCTTTGCCTCCGCCGTTGTCTGCCTGACTGTGTCCTGTCAGTCTTGATGTCTGTGCACCTGAGACGTCTTCACAGCTGGCGAATGCGGTGGTATTTCGGGCTCAGTGAAAGAGAACCCTTCTGCGTGGGATGCATTTGGGGCACGGGGAGAGGACACCCAGATGGGCACTGCGGTCCCTGGACCCGCTGGTCACGGCTGGTACAGCCCGCGGTTCCCACTGTCTGACAGGTCTGGCTCTTAGGAGGGCTGTGCGCTGGGCCCGTGTCCCTGGGACTCACCCCGGGCACGCTCCGTCCCCGCCTCTGAGCGGGTCTCCGGCCTGTGCTGGGCTTAGTGCTCTGATCTGAGCAGGAGGCTCTTTGCAAATTCTCCCTCACCGGGCTCATCTCCCAGTGGGAGGAGAGTGCAGACCTGGCAGGGGGTGCCAGGCTGGGTGCCAGCTGCTACCCAGCGGGCAGCCGCTGTTGTACTTTGCTTCTTCCCTTGGAGGGATCTGAGATTTTCCCAAGATGATGTGTACGGCAGATTTGGGCTGTGAGCTGTGCTGGGATTGAGAAGCAACTCTGCTTCTTATACAAACCCCTCTGTCACTTCAAGTCACCTTCCGGTGGCCGGGCTGTGTTCACCTCCTGTCCAGGTGCCTGCAGGTCTGGATGAATAAGCAAACTTCTGCCTCTCCCCGTCAAGATGATACCGTCAGGGGAAATAATAAAATCCTTTGCATGAGCAACTAAATACATTCTTGAAACAAATGAGAAGCAGCAGATCTGTTTTAAGGACTTGAAATATTTTAGGCACAAGAAGGTCAAGTCAGTCCTGGTTAGTTGCAGGCCTGTGCCACAGGGGAAGCATCAGCCTGGACCTCCCTAGGCTTTGCCACCAGACCCAGTGCCAGGTGCCAGGTGCCGGGTGCCAGGTGCCAGGTGCCGGGCGCCAGGTGCCAGGCCAAACTTAGATACCTAATCTCTGTTCACTCACTATTTTCTTCACTTACAGACATCGACGAGTGCCTCTCCAGCGGGATCTGCCCCGAGAATGCCTACTGCAATAATTCCCTGGGAAACTACACCTGCCACTGCCTGCCTGGCTTCATGCATGTGTACTCCATGTGTAAAGGTGCGGACAGCCAGCTTTGGGTCATCGCCCTGCCCAGTTAAATAAGGATCACCTCACGAAAAGACCACACGAAGAAGGGATGAGGACTCTCATCTTAGGGATGAGAAAACTGGGCAGAGAGAGGGAGAGTCAGTTTTCTGTGGTTGCAGAGCTCTGAGGTCCGTGGTCCAGCTGGGGTTCGAGGTCGTGGTTCAGCGTGCAAACGTGGTAGGAAGGTGTAAGTACGGCTGTCTGCCTAACGGTTTTTCTTCTGCAGGAGGTGGCTGGATTGTGCAAAAGCCAGGCACACTTTCAGGATGTAAGCAATACCAGGATGGGCACATTACTCTCTGACTGTAGATTTCTAATCTCTGTCCACTCCAGACATCAACGAGTGCCTCATAAGGGGGTACTGCCCCGAGAACACCGAGTGCAAAAACTCCGTGGGAAGCTACAGCTGCCACTGCAAGACCGGGTTCACCTCCTCTGACTCCGGGTGTAAAGGTACAGACAGACAGCCGTGCCCGTTTCTGTGCCCCCTCCACTCCCTCCTATTACGGGACCATAAGAGAAATGATTCTGATCCTCATTTTGAGATGAGAAACGGGGGTCCAGGAGCAAGAGGTGACCTGATTTTTCCAGGGCTATACAGCAAAGGTGTGGACCAGCTGGGATTTGAACTCCCGTAAGGGCAGTGGGTGATGTGAGGAGCTCATCTGTAGAGTGATTTTTCATACAGGGGACATCGGCAATGCTCAGAAACTTTTCTGTGCATACCGCTGGGCTTTGCTCGCAGGGCTTTCTCCCTGAGCTGCACGCCCAGCCCTTTATTATTATTTTTTTTTTGAAACAAGGCTTTGCTAAATTATTTGGGCAGGACTCGAACTCAAAATCCTCTTCGTTCAACTTCTTGAGGCCTTACAGGCATGCACAACTGGACCCAGTTGCCAAAGATATTTCTGAGCCCCAGCCATGGGAAGAAAGAGAAGGCAGAAACCACACTCATTTCTTAAGCGCTGTGGCACAAATGTGACCCTTCCCACATTCCCACAAGTCAGAGCGCCTCACTGGAGGCTGCTGGGAAATGTAGTTTCTGGCTGGGCCGACATTTTTTAGGATACTGGGCCAGTATGCAGGGGTGGTCTCCAATGAGATGACCATTGAATGCAGGGGAAATATTTCTCATCGTGCCATGTCACCCTGGCCACAGCCTCTGTTTACCGTGTCTCTCGGCTGCATTGAAAGGCCTCTTCAAATGACTGATTTCCATCACCTGGGTTTCCATCAGTGTCCTCTGGGTCCTGATGTGTCCAATCCATTGCCCATGGACTGCGTTCAAGCCTGGTCAGCCAGTAAAGCACCCCACAAGACCATCCATGTTTATGTCACTGTGTGATGTTGGGCAATCTGTTTTATAGCCATTGGCGTGGTCCCTGGGCGTGGAACGTGTAGGTAACAGCAGATCCCAGTGCAGGAGAGGAAGGGTGTTTCCCGAAGCCACCAGGCGGCCAGCCTAGCACAGCCTCTGTGTGTCAGAGAGCGTGTGACTGATCTTACATAAAATATGGCATTTCCCATCTACCTACCTGTGCGCGCTCCTGAAGACGGGCGTTGAGATTACCAAGCAGTTAGGGAAGTTTTCTATTTAACTATAAATTGGGCTTCCCGTGTCATTTTGTCAAATAGGAAGGATTCTTCCTTACGGACATTTGCCAGGTTCTCTATTTTGTATGTAGCCCAAGACAATCCCTCCTCCCCGGGTGTCCCCGGCCGGCCACAAGGCTGCCCGTCCGTGGCCTGGGTTTTCACACGGTAACAAAGCCAGGAGGACTCAGTTGTCACACGTCCTCTTCATAAAGAAGGGGAGCTCTCGCTTCAGAAGGGAGAGCAGGGTTTGGCCGGGCACACGCCAGCCCCCGCCTCACGCCCTCTCTCGCCCACAGACATCGATGAGTGTACTTACTCGTGCCCGCCCAACGCCAGCTGCACCAACACACTTGGGAGCTTCTTTTGCACCTGCAAGGCCGGCTTCGCACCCAGCAACGGGCGGTGGAATTTCACAGAGCCAGAAGTGACCTGCGTGGGTGAGTGCAGGTTTGGCCAGAAAGCAGCCCGGGAAGGAGGTCCCGCCTTGCTGCTCTGAGTCTCTTGACGCCCTCGAACCCTTGCAGATGTGGATGAATGCTCCCCAGCCCCGTCGCCGTGTGGCCCACACTCTGTCTGCAGCAATGTCCTGGGCTCCTACAACTGCAGCTGCTCCCCAGGCTTCAGGCCCGATCCAGAAGGTTCCATGACACACGGCAACTTCAGTTGCAGAAGTAATCATCTCCTCGTGCGTGTTGGCTGCGGAACCGCTGTGTTGCTTTGCTTGTAAAATCCTGATTCTATCAAACCTCTGCTGCAGCCTCCCACTCTCCCCTCATCTGCAAACACGATTCCTTTTGCTTTTTTAAATTCACTTATTAATCCACTCCATATCCTGTTTTTGGATCAACTATTAATTGAGCTGTGCACTGCACCACGCATTATGTATTCAATCCTGATTTGATGGGCGTACTACTTGCTTTTATGTAATTTCTGGCCAACGGAAGGGATCAGGGAGCACATAGCTAATTAGTAGTAATAAGTCACAACAAGTGACACAGAAGAGTATGTTTTGAGGCAAATAGTGAGATATTTAATATGCTCTGAGAAAGTGACCCTCCGGCAGCAGCTCCAAGGAGAAGTAGGCACTATCCAGATGAGGCTACAGCATGTGCAAAGGTCCTGAGGCTCACACAGAGCGAGAACAAGAAGAGGTGTGAGATGTGTCTGAGGCGGTGGGCAGAGCTCAGATTATTCAGGGCTCCGGTGCTACGCCTAGCGGTCTGGCATCTTTTATCCTCAAGAACAATATAAAACTTTTGAATTTAAATGATAAGATTTTTATACTTTAACAATACATACTTAAGTGGCCACAATGACACAGAACAAATCAAAAGGACCCGAGGCCCTTCTCCAATCAGGATGAGAAAGCCATCAGGGCCACCGTGTCACCCACACGCCCCCCCCCCCGGGGCCCCGTGGAACCGCTCCTGGTCGCTGCTCTCCCGCCGTGGCCGGCTTGCAGCTGCTTCCTCTTTGCTCTGTGCTGTGTGCTCCGCCCAGAGCCGGGCTCTCGGCGGGCAGCTGCTGGGCTCGGGCGCCTCTCGTTCATATCGTGCTGTGGTCGCAATTTAACTTGAGTGCTTTTGTTTCCCACCTAGGGGTTCCATTCAAATGTAGGGAGGACATCATTCCCAACAGTACAGAAGCCCGGCACTGCCAAAAAGGGAGAGCCGCGGACCCCAAATATGTAAGCACCGGGGAAGGGGACAGTGGACTGGATGCTTCTGTAATGCTGCAGCTGTCACCATCACACGTTTGCCTTGTGGCTCAATGTGGTTGCTCCAGCTCCTGCCATTGCACCTGCCTTACAGCTGGCAGGAAGAGGAGAAGGAAAAGTGGATGGCACAGCCTTTTCCTTTAAGATTATGCCACATGATCGCTTCTGGTTATACATGTTGGCCAGAAATCAGCCACACAGTTAAACACAGCTTCCAGGGAGACTGAAGAGAGGATAATTAACCTGTGTAAACCTTCGGGGTCGCTTTACTGGGATGGGAGGCTTTTTGGAGGCTCATTGCCGGCAGAGGTGTGGGTGCTGATCTGAGAGATACAGGGGCGCGAGATGCCCAGTTAAGCCACGCGGAGCCATTTGGACATCTTGATTACCTAATGCACTATCGAAATTAGCAACACTTCATGTTACCGTCAAGAACCAATGTCATAATTCCACATAGGAACTTACACATTAGCTTTGAAATTCACATGCACCGTAGGCCCCCGATTTTCTATCTACTTTGGTCAAGAGCAAACTTTGGCTAAACAGAGACAACAAAAAATTTACCATTTTAGCAATTTCAATGTATATAATTAAGTAGCGGTTAGTGTACTTACAGTGCAGAAATTGTCACTTAAACCAGGCACGGTGGCTCACACATGTAATCTCGGGAGGCTGAGGCAGGAGGATCACTGCGAGTTCGAGACCAGCCTGGGCTACAAAGTGAGCTCAAAGCCAGCCTGAACTGCATAGCCAGACCCCATCTCAAAAAGACAAGAGACAGAGACAGAGAGAGAGAGAGAGAGAGAGAGAGAGAGAGAGAGAGGAGAAATAGGGGTGAATCCCTTGATGCACTGATTGTGATGACTGCAGTTAATAATGGTCTATTGGATGTTTCAAAATCCCTGAGAATGAATTTCCAACAGCCGCACTGCACACACCACAAGCACCGAGGTGCGGGCCGTGTTAATTAGACCGCAACATCATCCTGCACCCCACACGTACGCAGTTCTAGTGTGTGCTTTGGCGGCAGATATCTGGATGAGTCTGCACAGTTAACTTTTGTTCACCTGTACGTGGTGCGTGTCACTGGATGCTGCGAAATGCTTCAGCCGAGGCCCACCGAGCACGCGGTCCGGGCTTCTCTGGAGCCTTTCTGTCTGTCCTCGTCACCCCAGTCGGGAAGCCACACTTCCCCGCCTCTGTGAGCACAGGCGTCACCCGGCTGGCCCAGCAGTCGGCCTGTTGCTGTCGCGTCCGTGAGGATCTGCACCCCTGCTGGCCGGTGAGCCCGGCCCCAGATGCAGAGTCTGGGGCGGACGGACCGATCAATGCTCTTTCTCCGGGGACAGGGCTCCTTCTGTCGCCTCATGAACGCCACCTTCAGCGTGCTGGACGTTGCCTGTAAGAACAAAACCAGTGTGTCCCTGAAGGTAAGGGGGGTCTCTGTCCTTGGTTAGACTCTCCACCATCTGGCGGACGTCTCGGGCTGAGAAAGTCCCCTTGGGGTCACTGTCCACAGCTGCGAGCTTTAAACCCCACGTCCTCTCACACTAGCTCCTGGATGTTGGCTCTGGGTCCTGTGAGAACCTGACAGGGTTGTGCCACTGCCCTCGCGAGGGTACGGCCTGGCCTGTCCGTTTCCTCCAAGGCTTCCCCTGACCTCCCTGTTGTTTAGAAGCTCCTTCCCGGCCAGCCCTGTGAATCTGTCACCCGCATTCCCTCGCATCTGTCTGTGCAAGACTGTCATCAATGGGGTCCTAACCTCCGGCCTTTTGAGACTGTTTTATTTTCTTCCTAAGCATCGTGCCTGTGAGCCTCGTGCATGCTGCTTACTGATAGTTCACTCCTTTTTAACCGGCCATGACACTTAGAAAGTCACAGCGCTGCAGCATCGTCTGGACTTTGCAAGTCCAGGACGTTTATACCACCCCCACCAGCGCCCGCCGAGGAAACCCGCTCTTACTAAACACCTGGGCCCCGTCTCCCTCTGCGGACCCGGCACATGGCGTCTGACCCTTAATTCTTTGCACTGAGCGTGCAACACTCAGCACCCATCCGTGTCCTTGCGTGGATACGTGTTTCAGCCCTGTCTCTGGCTGAGTAACGTCTCTGGCTTATGAAGGGACCACAGTTTTTAGCTCATTAGTCTTCAAATGGCATTTAAACTGTTCACAGTTTCTGGCAGTTGTCAATAAAACCCTTAGAAATAGTCACATACGATTCTTTTGCAGACTTTTTTTTTTTATTGGTACCAGGGATTGAACTCACGACTGCCTGCTTGCAAGGCAGGTGCTTATGCCGCTGAGCTAAATCCCCAGCCCCTCATACGATTCTTTTGGTTAGTGTGATGGTGAGACTTCTCCATGACATATACCAAGAAGTTGATAGGTCATTACTGTTCTAAGCATTCACGCCTAGCTTTTCTTAAATCCATAAGTTGAATGTATGCACATTATCGTATTTTTAAAATATTTTTAGTGGATGCTAAGATATCGCTTTTGGTGATTTTTGGAGGCAAGTTTATTTATGGTGATGGGCATGATCCCTGGCGGTCTCGGGCTTGTATGAGCTATGCAGGCAGGAGTACACAGCAGGATGACTTGTCAGCTGGGGATTGGTTTATACAGTGCGCACCATAGCAACCAGCTGTTGCTAAGAGACTGAGCCACTGACCCTTAAACAGGAACTGTTACCCAGGCAACTTCCACGCTGGGAGGCCATTTTCTGTTAGAAAACAGAATACGTGTATATACATATATATATATAACAAGCTTAAAATAATTCAGATTCTCCAAACCATAGTATATAAGCAGGCACATTCTTGAAAATCTATCCTATTAAAATCATAAATTGGACGGCGTTTCCCAATGAGACTTTGTGGCTCCCTAATGCATCCAATTGCTCCAAACCTGATACATCACAGAAGTTTCCAGATTCTTAGTATGAAGAACTCAAACCCTTCTAAGTGGAACACAGATAGTATTCCAGCTATGGGTTTGGGATTGGCATGTATGTAGTCTTTTCCTGAGCATAGAAAAGAGTTTCCCACCTGAGAAGAATGAGGTCTCGTGTTTTGGGGGCTTACGGGGAGATTTTACCAGCCATAGAATCGGGGACCCCATTCTCCCGGGCGCTTCTGGCGGAGATATTCTTGCCACGCTGTGGGCGGAGGCGGACCGAGACGGAAGCCTTTCAGGCAGGAGCTGGCGCCCAGGACCTCGCTTCCGGGGACGATCACGCTCACGTGTCACAGTGTCCCACTGGGGTGGAAATCCTTTGTATCTTGCTGTCTCATTTTGATAGGAACTTTTCCCCATCATTAGATTCCTGTAGAATACCTTTTGTGATCTGATGGAATTTAATTCATCTCTCTCCTCGATTCACACTTTTCCTGGCTCAGGTTAGACTCACCAGTTACAGTGAACTTTCTGACCATGACAATAGAAAGGGGGTTAGTTTAACGTTGCTCTGACCGTTGCATTGCTGTGGTTACCTTGATTGTGTTTCTCAGACATAATCAGTGTGTGTTAGATGTGTGCCTCTCTCTTTTTACTCGGTAAATGTACACACACACACACACACACACACACACGATTCCTGTCTTGAGTATTTGCTATGAAAAGTTTCGGATAATAATCCAGAACTTAGCTTCTGATGCTGGCCTGGAAAATTTCCAAATTGGTTATTCTGCCTACTAGACACAAATTTTTGTTTCCTCACACCAAACCAGGAAACAATTGCCACTATTTCATAGATATAGCCTCAATATTAAACAAGTTAATGTATGTAAGATCCCTCTCTGTGTCTGTCTCTCTGTCTCTCTCTCTCTCTCAAAATATCTAGCTCATACAAGTATGCATTACCCTTATCTTATGGGCCAGAAACATCCGTATCATGAGCACAAATCTTCAGGCTGGTTTTATTAGGCCCATGAGACAGTGAGTACACTCCGCACCGCGTCCTCTCGGTCGGTTGTGCTGTTAATAGGTGCACTCTGCATGTTTCTTTAGCTGCTGCTTACTGTCCCACAATTAGATTTCTCTTCCTTAATTTAACGGATGTGTTGGACATTTAGGATTTCCAGAAATCACCTCGAGATAAGTATCACCGAAGGAGATCCTTGCACAAGTTTTAAGTGTTTGTGAAAGAGTCCATTTGCAGAGCAGCAACCTCTGGGTTGAAAATTGCCCACGTCATCCTGGTTGGCGGTAGCACCTGCCAATCCTGTACAGGCCGCATGAATTTGGATTCCTGAAGGGATCCCTGAGTCAGACCGTGAAGGCTGCTGCTGGCCGCTTCTCACGCTGCTCCGGCTGTGGCTCTCTGTCCAGTGTCCAGCTGAGGGTGGACAGATGTCAACTGATTAATGAGACAGGTGGAGGGGGGCCAGGAGAGGAGGGCAGGAGGAGTTTTAAAAGGTGGAAGAGACAGAAGGAGAGGAGGAAGAGAAGGAGTAAATCCCTCTTTTCTTCCAGAACAAGACGGAGAGCTTGGCCTCTGTGCTTAACGAAACATCCGCGTGGGCCAAGTTCACCAAGAAGGAGAAGTCCGCGCTGGCCACGGCCCTCCTGGAGAGCGTGGAGAGCGCCACGCTGGCCGCCTTACTGACGTCCCCAGAGAACGCCAGCCAGATCGTCAGCACACAGCAGCTGGGTAACCGGCGTGACTGCAGGGCAGAGCCGGGCTTGGGTGCCGCTTTGGAGGGTGACCTTGGCCGTGAGAGTCTCTGTCGCTTCTCTGGTGACTCTTTCCTCACCTGCCCCCAAATCCTAAACCCACAGCAGGGAAGTCTAGTTACGCTGACGGCACTTCCCACTGGCGGTGCCTTTGGTAAGGTGAGGCCCAGTGCTGGGCATGGCCAGACGCCCACTGACTCATGGCACACCGCCGGGGACCCGATGCCCACAGCCGCTTACGTGGCCACAGCTCCCCAGCAGCGCCGTGGGCTGCAGACCACGTCTCGACACGCGAGGCTGGAGGCATCTCAGCCCACCTCCGACTCTGCCTGCTGGGATGCCTCCTTCCGATGTGGAGATTCATAACGTTCGGACGCGATTTCTTTTATTTTTCTTGTTGGTGCCCTTTTCTCCCTGTCATCTTTCGAGGGGTGCAGCTCTTCCCTCCTCGTCCCAAACTGGTCTTTCTCTTCTTCCGTTTGCTTTGGTGTACAAATGGCGCCCATCGTGGGCAGAAACCAACTTCAAACCCAGGACCCGGCCCTTACGCTCGGAGTCTAGCCATCTCCCCAGAGCCTCACGCAGTGGGGGGACTTTTTTCTAGAGGGGCTCGGATGTCTGGTTCACTTGCAGTGCAGTGTGCCGAGTGTAAGGGTGGCTGATTGCCGGACCAGGCCGCTGATGGGCTCAGCGCTGTCCTCACCGCGATGGACTGGAGACCGTCTAAGGGACAGGAAGAGGCCCGTGTCGCTCTCTGTCCCCCCTTTCTTGTTGGTTTTGCTGTCTTCTGTGGCCGTACAGGGTTGCCCCTTTGCCCTGTGCCAGCCTGCTTTGGAGTCAGTCAATTATAAACTAAAACCTCCACAAACCGTGTGCGAAATAAACCTTTCCGCCCTTCTCCTTGGGTGTCAGGTGTTTTGTCTCACCAAAAAAAAAAGTAACCGAGATGCCCTCTGAGTGATCTCAGGCACCTGCTCCTGTTTCTTTTAGTTATTCGGACCCGAGTCATCAGTGACGCGTGCACTGGGGAGAATGTGTCCTTTACCTTAGAAGCCAACGGAGACGTGATGCGAATCGGGTGCGCCACCATCAAAGAGTCAGAAAGCACAGGTAGGCAGAGCTCAGCCCCGAGCGTCCGGGCGCTGATGGGCGCCCCGCACTGCAGGGCTTTACGGTGCAGTCGCTGTCCGAGACGTCCCGTCCCGTCTGACTGGCCTTTTGTGCTCTTTGACCAGCATCTCTCGGTGCCCACGGGTTCCGCAGCTCGTAGCCTCCCGTCTGCTTCTGTGGGATCAACCTTTCGAAGCCCTTTTTAGGTTCCGGGAGGGAGGGAGACCGTGTGGCATGTGACTTTCTGTGCCTGGCTTTTGTCCCTCGACACGGAGCTCTCCGGGATCACGCACACGGTTGCCCATGACAGAACTTTAGAAAACGTGGTATTTGTACAGCGAGCCACCGTTCACCTCGGGAGTGGTTCGGTGTAGAAGCGCGGGGTGGAGGGTGGGAGAGAGCTGACCCTGCACGCTGTGGATCAGGCAGAGGAGAGGACACAGACATTCTAGACGCACAAGGGGGCAGATCTGCAAAGAGAGAAAACTAGGCGCCATGGCCCAGAACAGAAAAGCACCAGGTAGGAGGCGCTTGGTGCCAAGCTGTCCGCGCGTCTCCTGAGACGCAGAAAGCCTGGAGCCTTCTGGGCAGAGCGAGGCTTCCGGGGCACCTGGCTGCGGTGCACAGACGTTGCCCGGCGGGTGCGAGGCGGAGCCGGGTGAGGAGCCGGCTGCAGGGGGAGGCGCAGGCGGCTCTCGGGTCTTGGGTTACTCCAGATCCGCCCTGCGTCGGCTCCTCGGTAACGATCTGCTAGCTGATGATTCCCTGCTTCCTCTGTCCCCGGCAGGGACCACCGGCGTGGCGTTTGTCTCCTACACAAACATGCAGTCTGTCTTGGATGAGCAGTTCTTCAGAGACCCCCAGGCCCGCTGGGGCACCGAGCGGAGGAAGCTACGGATGAGCTCCCGAGTTGTGGGGGGCATCATGACCGGGCAGAGAAAGGACAACTTCAGCAAGCCCGTTGTCTACACTCTGCAGAACACCCAGGTCGGTGACCGCGCACCGTCTGTCTGCTGAGAAGTCCCCGCTGTCCTGGTGGCCGCGGTTCTCGCTTTTCTAAATTTAACCTTTTTCACTTTCAAATCATCATAGACTCAGCTGGCACCTTTAGCCATGTGAGCAAATTCTACAGTTATATCTCGAGGGCACACAGAAACACCGAACAACACTCAGGACTCGGAGGCAGGTTTATTTACACCGACAGGCTCTAATCAAGACCGCTGTCCAGAGTATCAGGCCTGGTCTCTGGGGCCCTCGCAGGAGGCTCACAGCGGGACAGCACAGCTGCAGGCTGCCGAGCAGCTAGAAGGTGGATGAGTATCATCAGCTTAGGAAGCTTGGTGCAAAGATACGACGCTTGTTACGCGCTCTGGTTACGGGCATCCAGAAAGCAGGCAGTTACAGAGAAAGGCAATTGCAAAAGGACAAAGCTGTTTAAAAGCTCTTGTGGAGTCTCCATCGTAACAGAATTCAGCGCGTACCAGGAACCTGGCGCAGGGATTTTATCCTTCGTGCAGAGACTGCAGCCTGCTGCCTAAGGGACAAAACAGAGAGGCGGGTGAACTCAGATGTCACAGGGGCAAGGCGGGGGCCAAAGGACGGCCACCGATGTTCTGGGAACATCAGTGGAGGAGGGCCGGCGGTGCCGAGCCGAGCTCCAAGGAGGAGAGACAGCGTCACCCACACGGAGGTGTGATGTCAGGCGAGACTGTGAGAGGGAAGAGAAGGAAGCTGAGGAGAAGCAAACAGAAAGATCAGAGGGGAACCAGAAAAGAAAAGAACCCCAGAAAACCAAGCAGAAAAACCCAACAACACAAGAAAAAGGGAAACTCACCAGCCCGCCTGCCCTTCATGTGCACCCCTGCTGGGCCTTACTGGGTTGCTGGCCAGCAGTGTTTTTCTTAAACATACCATCTTCCCAACTCTCGAGCTATTTTCTCCAAACACATTTTACTTTTCTGAGAATTCTCATGCATATATATCCCAACAGGATGTTCTGGAAAGTTCTCCATCGGTCTATCAATGCTCAGGTCTGATTCTGTGCTCCGGCATGCAAAGCAATATGTCTGTCTCTTTCCTGCAGCCCTGCAGCCATCATGGGCTCACTGAAGCTCTAGAAATGCAGCCATGTCCTTTCTGCCACAGGACATTTGCACATGTCGTTTCAGCTTAGAAAACCCTGGCTTCACCACCCGCATGACTCCAGTGCCCTTTCGTGACACTGGCTCAGAAACACCTTCCATGCCTGTCTATAACATGAGATTCATTTCACTCCTGTTACACACTCTGAAGGCATTCTGTTATTTTTATTCTTACTAAAAACGTCTCTGATTTCTCCCTCTCCTATTTCTTCTCTCTCTGTGCTACTGTTTCACCAGGGGACTGGGGCAGGGCTGCTGTGTTTGTTGACATCTCCGGTGTGCAGCACAGATGAAGGCGTCCCATATGTTCCCAGTGAAAACACGGCCAGTGGCCCATTGACTGACTGAATGACTGTGTCCAGCCCTAGCCCAAGTCTGATCAAAGGAAGAATTTCCTGTATATGGGCACAGAACCGTCGCTTTCTATTCTGTATCTCGGGGCCCCCAAGGTTGGTCACAGGGAATCCATTAAAGAGAAATTCTCAAGTCTCTGGACCTTCCAATTTTGCAGCCAAAGCGCACGCCGGAGGAGAAGGCCATCTGTGTCTCCTGGGTCACAGACACCGAGGGTGGGCGGTGGACGCCGTCTGGCTGCAAGACTCTCAGACAGTCGAAAACGCACACCACCTGCAGCTGCTACCACGTTGCCAGCCTGGCTGTCATCATGGCCTCCGGGGAGCCTACGGTGAGTGTCGCGATCTTTGCTCCGGGTTCCCGAGTGCGTCCTCAGGCCCACTGGGGCTGCAGCAGGGACCCGCGGTTCATGAACTGATTGAGGTTCTGAGATTCTAGAGCCGGGCATGGTGGCTCACGCCTGTCATCCCAGCACTCGGGAGGCTGAGGCAGGAGGATCGCTGCAAGTTCAAGACCAGCCTGGGCTACAGAGTGAGCTTGAGGCCGGCCTGCGCTGCACAGCGAGACCCTGCCTCAGAAAGACAGAAAAAAAAAAAGGTTCTGAGATCCTGGAAAGATGGCCTCATTTGTCTCCATGTGAGAAAGATGGCCAGTTATGACAGCCTCCTGACACAGAGTTTGCAAACGAAAACAAAATTTTGCAAACCAAGATGCTCCCAGACCATAGGGTTCATGGTCCGATGACGAAGCACTGTACCGCCCTTTACGTCTCTTGTGGTGTGAGGTGTTGTGGTAGCCGTGAGGACACAGGGATGTGTGTGCCGTGCTTCTGACCTCGGGAAACTAATTATCTCACAGGGAAGGCCAGGGATCAAACATTAAATCAGTAACACACAATAAAACGAATAGCTCTTACTTCAGAAACACCTGTTGTGTGCTAGACTCTGCTTTAGTTGTTTTTAGACCCATTTTACAGAATGTGAGACTGAGGGCTGGTACTCTATCTAGCCAAGAAGCGAGGTGTTGCTGGGAGTAGGATTTCTGCAGAGTTTCACTGGAAGTAAAAAGAACTAACAGCTTATTTTAAGGTGAGATTTACATTATGAGCAACTTGAAAAATCAGTCTAGATTTTACTTTCCAGTCAAGTCTTATTTTCAGGGAAAAGGGATTAGATAGATAGATAGATAGATAATTATTAATTCCTATAATGACTATGTATTATGTGTCACAAACTGAGACTAATAAGAAAAACTTATAAAAAGAAATAAGCAACCCTAAAGTTCACATGGAAATACAGAATCCCCAGAACAGCCACAATAATGCTGAGTAAGAGGGCAAGTCTGGAGGCATCACAGTACCTGATTTCAAATCATACTACAAAGCTATAATAATGAAAACAGCATGGTACAGCCACAAAGCTAGACGTGCAGACCAGTGAGATAAAAGAGAGGACCCAAAAAACAACCCCACGCCACCACAACCGTCCAATTCTTGACAGTAGGTTTAAAAAGTGTTGCAGAAAATAGAACTTCTTTCACAGATCGTGCTGGGGAAAATGGAAATCCATATGTAGACTGAAACTATACCTCTCTTTTGTCCTGTACCAAATCAATTCAAAGGGAACTTAGCTTTGAAATTACTAGAAGACGTAGGAGAAACACTTGAGGTCATACGCACCAGAAAAAAGTCCTTCCTAAAACACGGACTCCAGATGCAAGGAAGACCATCAGGAATCAGAAAGATTACTTCAAATTGAAAAGCTTCCACCAGCAAAGCCAATATGAAATAACAGTAAATGCTCGTGAGGACGTAGGGAAAAGCAGCATCTCTACACTGCTGGTGGTGCTATAAACTAGTACATCTTCTGTGGAAATCAGTACAGTTACTCCTCAAAAAAGTAGAAATAAGGCTACCGCGTCACCCTGCTGGACCAGCCTTCCGCACGCATGAGGCAGGTGTTCTCAGTGCTCTGTGGAGACCCGCCGACCAGGCTTACTGTGACTCAACTCACAAGAGCCGAGATACGAGCCAGCTCCACATGGGTAAAGGAATAGAGAAATGATCACAGATGCACACAGTTCAGCCACAAAGAACAGACCATGTCATCTTCAGGCAAATAGACAGAAAGAAAAATAAGCCAGATTAAGAAACACAAGTATTCCATGTTTTCCCTAATAGTGGACTCTAAAAGAAAATGACATGAAAGTAGAAAGGATGCTTTTCTTAGACAAAGAGAAGACAACAGGGCACAGAGGGAGGACGTGCAAGGGAGAGTAACTGGCAGAACAGACACGATCAGAATATATTACCTGCATGGATGCAAATATCACATCGAAATCCGATACTCTGCAAAATTAATATACACCAATGAAAACCCATTTAAAGAGATTGTCCCTGTCATGTCCTGTCTGCCCCGATGCAATTAAGGACCTGATAGTGGCATGTAGAGTCCGGCCAAGGCTCATTCTTACCTAGAGAAAAGTTGGTATTGTCTCTGGTCTTTGCAAGCAGCCTTTTGTGGAACATCTCATTGGTCACCCCAAAGGTCATCATCCGGGAACTTAGCCCCAAGGGGTTCTGGGAGATGTAGTCTGTGCATGTCCAGCCCCATGATGTATAGGGACCAGCATAAGACATGGTTGGTACCAGTGCTGAGGAATTTCGTCGGGTTGGAATGGATGACAAGGCAGGGAATCCGGTTCCTTGCAAATGTCAGAGGCAGGAAAGGCCCTGAGCCCTGTCTTCCAAGCCAGAGGTCCAGGTAATTGTGTCTGCCCACTGGTGGGAGACAGTGGTTCTCTTCTGAGGCTAACAGCAATTCTCCCCCTGACAGATGGAGTTCCCCTTGTACGTCATCAGCCACGTGGGCATAGTCCTCTCCCTGGTGTGCCTCATCGCGGCCATAGCCACCTTCCTGCTGTGCCGTGCCATTCGCAACAACAACACCTACCTGCACCTGCACTTGTGTGTGTGTCTCTTCCTGGCCAAGCTTCTGTTCCTCGCTGGTATAAACGAGACCAGCAACCAGGTCCGTGCCCCGTGACCTCCCTGTCTCTGCTCATTCCTGCCCTACTCTTGAGCAGGGCCTTTGCACATGCTGTGACCCTGGCTGTCACACACACACCTGGCCTCTCCCCTAGTGGACAGGACTTATGGTAGGCACCAGCTGAAAATCACATCCCTGAGCACGTGGTAAGTTACAACGTTCCCTTCAGCTTTGTCTTAGTGATCCTTGCCCATGGTGCTATGGGCACCACAGCTCCTGCTAGGAGCTATGTGACAGCGTCCAGACATTTGTGTTTATGACAACTGGGGCAGGGTGATACTGACATCAAATACCAGACTGCGGATGCTGCTAAGCACCCACAATGTGCAGGATGCCCTCCAGTGCCCCAAAGAGAAATGATGCCAGTTGTTTGATGACCCCGAATAGTGCCATGGCTGAGAATCTCAGCTCCTCTATTCCGGAATTCCCCAGGACTCATTTGAAACCATGGAGATGGTCGGTTTGCCGTTTGTCCTGTATTTCTCTCCTTCCCTGACCGAGAGCCTCATGGGGACAGAAACTCTGGCTACGTGGCTGACACCAAGCAGGCTCTTGGGCTTCCTGACGAGGAGTCCCAGTCGCTTTTGGGGCGAGTCTGTCCTCCTCTGTGCCCCCCTCTCTGTGCGGTGTTTAGCTTCCAGCCCTTAACCGTTAATAGCTCTGGGACCCACGTCACCCTTTGGGTCACAGCTGGGCCAAGACTCCTCAGGAGTCAGCTGACATTTGCAGCCTGTGAACCGCACAGGTCCTCTTCCTCCCAAGCTCCCCCGACCCGAGATCCCACGCGCCCCGCCTCCCCTCTGCAGACAGGCTGTGCTGTCATCGCCGGGCTTCTCCACTACCTTTTCCTCGCCTGCTTCTCCTGGATGCTGGTGGAGGCGGTGATGCTCTTCCTGATGGTCCGCAACCTGAAGGTGGTCAATTACTTCAGCTCCCGCAACCTCAAGGTGCTGCACCTCTGCGCCTTCGGCTACGGGCTCCCGGCCCTGGTGGTGGTGATCTCTGCGGGTGTGCAGCCGCAGGGCTATGGCATGCACGACCGGTGAGTGACGCCCACCCAGCCTCTCCCGAAGACCTGGGGCCAGAGCTCATGATGATGATGGTGTGCACAAGGAAAGCCATAACCGTAGCAATACAGCGGTTGGTTTAGAGCCACCGTGTACAGCAACATGGGTTGCACACTGCACAAATCCGTGCACACATCTGTAGCTTGGCCTCTTCCATAACTGACCTCTTGGGAACGTGATGCCGTAAACACGGTCACACGTGGGCCACCGCAATACGGTGACTTTATCTCTTTCAGGAAGGTGTCCTGAAGCGGGATAACGGGGTCAAATAGAATTTCTAGTTCTCAGTTTTTTGAGGAATCCCTGCACAGTTACCAACAAAATAAGATTGAAAAAATATGCATTCGAGACCTGATAGAAAGATACAGTCCTTTGTCTTCCCGTGATTACAAGATGCCCGATTCACGCTGGGCCTTGCACTGCTGGTTTGTTACAGAGATGGCCAAGTTATCCACGTGCCAAATTCTCACAGTCTAGCTAGGGAAGAAAATTTGCAAATCCGCAAATAACTACCCAAGATAGGTTATGATATAGAAAGCTGTTATTTGAAAATGTGCTGAGAGCCAGTTGTGGTGGTTCACAGCTATAATCCCAGCACTTGGGAGGCTGAGGCAGGAGAATCACATTGAGTTCAAGACCAGCCAGGACTATATAGTGAGATCTTGTCTCAAAATAACCAAAAAGCAAGAAGAAATATGAGCTCTTCTGGAAAGGTCCCAGCTGTTGAGATAGAATACTGTCTTACTTTTTTTCTCATTGCTGAGACAAAATACCAGATACCCAAAATTAATTATTTCGTTCAGAGTTTTTGGAGGTTTCCACTGGTAACTGACTGGCTCCAAGGTTGGGGGGGGGTGGCAGAGGGCCAGCAGAAGATGCCAGAATAACAAGAGAAAAAAGTGGGGTGCATGCCTTTCCCTCCCTCGAACTGTATGCAGGCTCCCCAGTGTGTGCTGGGCACAGTATTCACATGGCCAGCTTTAGCACTAGACAATGAAGCAGCCACAAACTAGATTTAGCCGCCTTGGAAAAGCCCGTCCCCATGACCACATGAGGCTTTGGGGGGTCACGCAGACATAAACCATAACAGATACGTGGCTGGACACGGTGAGGGGTGCGGGTCATTGGATCTGAGCTGAGGGCTGGATGGCACAGTGTTTGAGCAGAGTTCTGCGCGGCTGGGGAAGGGATTGCCAGGGCTATGAACTGGTTCTGAGCTTGGCCTCCAGCCCCGGGTGAGCCTTTCAGGCAAGTCTGCCCAGGTCGCGGGTCTGAAGGAGGCTTCAGCCTGCAAGTGAAGACAGACATGCAGCCTGGTCCGCCGTGAGAATTTCCGTCTCATGTCACACACATCAACACGGTCGCACGGTCAGGGCTCCGACCATCTGCTCACGCTCTGCCTTGCCCTCCACAGCTGCTGGCTAAATACGGACACAGGGTTTGTGTGGAGCTTCCTGGGACCGGTTTGCACAATCATTGTGGTAAGCAAGGGATTTTGTGAGATGCATCTTGCAGAAGAAGCAGAGAGACCCAGGAGACCTGCAAGGGCCAGTGAAGTCCCAAGCCGAGAGACCTTTCCTCTGAGAAGTATTCTCTTGTGATCCTTGGCTTTAAGTTTACAGTTTTTGACTTGTGATTAGATGCATGCTCAGATACCGTCTCACCCAAAGCCCAGGTGTGCTGCTATCGCAAAGCTTCTTAGGGCGTTCACAGGAGGAGATACGCTCAATGAAAGCACAGAGCCAGCCCCGGAGCGCTGGACGGGATGCTCCCAGAAGGCTCTGGGGGAATGAGACACACATTGTCCTGAAGCCCACGAGTGGATGATGGGCAGGGAGATAACGAAGGTCCAGCGGCGGGGCAGACAGGAAATCCTCAGCAGGTCAGGCTGGTGGCTGGCCACACGGGGAAGTCACCGGAAGAGGACTGGATGGCCCAGTGGTGGCCTGCTGGGCGAGCATCCGCAGGACCACGTTCTGAGCTCAGTAGTTGTAGGGAGGGGACTTTCCTGGGGAAACGGCACAGCTCCGAGGCCGGTAGCTGCTTTGTTTGGCGATAGGACGCGGTGGTCAGGCCGGCCGCTTAGCGCACAGGCGGGACGGCGGTTCCCAGAATCCTTCGGACGGTGCTTCAGGGACTGTCCGGTCCCTGCCCTGGGTAGCAGTCAGCTGTTAGTGGTGCTTCAAGAGCACGGTGGTAAAGGCCCTGGTTTTTGTTTGTTTGTTTTCCGTGCTGGCACGCGGCCTCCCCCAGGGCTGCAGTGGTCCTAAGAGCTTTTCCTGTCCGGCTCCGCTTTCCATCCAGGGCCACGATCAGGTCAGCACCTGGAACCGCATTCTGGTCACGGGCTCAGAGCCGCGGGGTGTGGGGCTCACGTCCGCAATCCCAGCGCCGGGAGGCTGAGGCAGGAGAGCTCCGGCCAGTGTGGGCCAGCCGGGGCCACACAGCCGTGTCCCTCCTCCTAGAGTGTGGCTCACAGAGGAGAGGTGCAAAGACCCCGCTATGAAACCAGCCGGGCAAGCCCTGGACCGGCCGGCTCTGGGGTCCGCCTGTGCTTTACCCACTGACCTGCTGACGGCCTCATGGGAGGACGCGTCCACACTGGCACACTGCTCAGCCACCAGCTCCTCCCCCTCCTGCTCCTCCTCCTCCTCCTCCATCTCCTCCTCCTCCTCCTCCATCTCCTCCATCTCCTCCTCCTCCATCTCCTCCTCCTCCCTCCTCCTCCTCCATCTCCTCCTCCTCCATCTCCTCCTCCTCCATCTCCTCCTCCTCTATCTCCTCCTCCTCCATCTCCTCCTCCATCTCCTCCTCCTCCATCTCCTCCTCCTCCATCTCCTCCTCCTCCATCTCCCTCCTCCATCTCCTCCTCTCTCCATCTCCTCCTCCTCCATCTCCCCTCCATCTCCTCCTCCATCTCCTCCTCCTCCATCTCCTCCTCCTCCATCTCCTCCTCCTCCATCTCCTCCTCTTCCATCTCCTCCTCCTCCATCTCCTCCTCCTCCATCTCCTCCTCCTCCGCCTCCTCCTCCTCCTCCATCTCCTCCTCCTCCTCCATCTCCTCCTCCATCTCTTCCTCCTCCATCTCTTCCTCCTCCATCTCCTCCTCCTCCATCTCCTCCATCTCCATCTCCTCCTCTTCCATCTCCTCCTCCTTCTCCATCTCCTCCTCCTCCATCTCCTCCTCCTCCTCCATCTCCTCCTCCTCCATCTCCT